TTTTCTTCTGCAGTTTTTTTGAAAATGCAATATTTGATATCTCAAAAACCTGATGTGATAGACAAAAACGGATTCCAGATTTGGAATCAGCACCCCAAAATTACATTATGACCGTTGGAATACCTTATGCCAGAAAAAGTGTGTTGACCAGCGTTAGTCTCGTGCTTGTGCTATGGTTAGTACGAGACTTGCTCTGCTACTACGGCAAATCCTACATCAAGGCTTTGCCGGGCTATCCCATTGCGAGGGAGGAAGGTATCCACATCTATCTTAGAAAAAACAAACCCTACCCACGATATTTCGATAGCCGCACAATGCACACGCGGGTGAATTCGAGACGGCGGTGGTCCTCAATACAAAACTGTCACGAAGCGGCAGTCCTTTAAAGAGCCGCACGCGGCTTCCAGAGCCCCAAGGGGGGTTCCTGACCCCTGCCTTGGACCAAACTGTTGGGTTCACAGAAACGTCGGCTGGCGGCGAGGGGGGTGGTGGGGAGGGGTCGATGTGGATTTTAAGAAGCTGTTTTTTTTTAGTTTTTACAACTGGCGTGCCAGGAAATGGAATTGAACCGGTGACCTCCGGTGGCAATGATGATCGTCAGACCGCTGGTGGCTGCATCTCGCGCGCGCGCTGAAATGTCCCTTCCCCTCCACATCACCCCCGCCTCCAAAGAACCCGCTTGCATTCTGCTCACCTCCAGAGAGAGAGAGAGAGGGCGCGCCAGACAGAGACGCGAGAGACGGGAGAGAGAGACGAGAGGGATTTTGACAAAACCAATGTCGCAGCTAAATTTGGAGAAGATGGCTCGCGCGACTAAATTACCCCCGGCCCGAAGCGCTCAGCTTGGCCACAGAGATGTCCCAGAGGATCAAAGTGCCACAATGCAACAGTTGGCACGTCCATGAGGCTGTATGCAGCGCTGTTCAACTGATGCACGTGCGCGCGTGGGTGGGCTGGTGTGTGTGTGTGTCTCTTTGTTTTTGTACGCGCGTCTATGTGGATGTGCGTCTGTGTGTGTGTGCGTGTGTGTCTCCGTGTGTCCTTGTGTTTCTGAGTGGGGGTGAATGGTCGGTGTGTAAACGTGGGTGTGTGTACGCGTGTCTCTGTGTGTCCCTGTGTTTCTGAGTGGGGATGAAGGGTCGGTGTGTAAACGTGGGTGTGTGTACGCGTGTCTCTGTGTGTCCCTGTGTTTCTGAGTGGGGATGAAGGGTCGGTGTGTACACGTGGGGGTGTGTACGCGTGTCTCTAGGTGTGTCCCTGTGTTTCTGAGTGTGGGTGAATGGTGGGTGTGTACACGTGGGTGTGTGTACGCGTGTCTCTGTGTGTCCCTGTCTTTCTGAGTGGTGGTGAATGGTCGGTATGTACACGTGGGTGTGTGTACGCGTGTCTCTGTGTGTCTCTGTCTTTCTGAGCGGGGGTGAATGGTGGGTGTGTACACGTGGGTGTGTGTACGCGTGTCTCTGTGTGTGCCTGTCTTTCTGAGTGGGGGTGAATGATGGGTGTGTACACGTGGGTGTGTGTACACGTGTCCTTCTGAGTGGGGGTGAAGGGTCGGTGTGTACACGTGGGTGTGTACGCGTGCCTCTGTGTGTCCCTGTCTTTCTGAGCGGGGTGAATGGTGGGTGTGTACACGTGGGTGTGTGTACACGTGTCTCTGTGTGTCCCTGTCTTTCTGAATGTGAGTGAATGGTGGGTGTGTACACGTGGGTGGGTGTACGCGTGTCTCTGTGTTTCGCTGTGTTTCTGAGCGGGGGTGAATGAATCCGAGACCGGCGAACCCGAGTCGGATTCCTGCTTACAGCCGCCAATACCAGTGACGATTATTTTGAACCGGTCCTGGGCCTCCCCAAGGTGCGCTACTCCGTGCGGTATGTAAACAGCGCCACTGGGGAGACAAAGGCGGCCGGGCGTCGTGTTGGCCACCCACCCCTTCGTGTGCCATACCGGCCTTCGAAGATGCTCGCTGACAACACTTTACCCAAACAGTCTATACAAGGCTATACGGGGGATCTTAGTCTTTGTGCTACTAGATATAGCAATCTCTCTCACTCGCTGTGTATGTAACAGCAGTGTGCACGCAGCATTGCGTAAACGCAGCGCTCAATAAAATCAATAGCGCTACACTCGAGACGATGGCAGTGCGGACAAAATAACTGTTGTAATGTACTTCTATGGCTCACCCGCTACACTCTTGACAACAACGTGCGCCGCGATGGCAAGATGTTAACTCCCTCGCCTGGTATGCAGGAGGCCGTGGGTTCGATCCCGACGCTGACGCCTGCTGTATATTTGGAGTCTGCGTGTCTCTCTCTCATCATAAACATCACGGTGGCTAGGAGATGTTAACTACCTCGCCTGGTATGCAGGAGGTCGTGGGTTCGATCCCGACGCTGACGCCTGCTGTATATTTGGAGTCTGCGTGTCTCTCTCTCATCATAAACATCACGGTGGCTAGGAGATGTTAACTACCTCGCCTGGTATGCAGGAGGTCGTGGGTTCGATCCCGACGCTGACGCCTGCTGTATATTTGGAGTCTGCGTGTCTCTCTCTCATCATAAACATCACGGTGGCTAGGAGATGTTAACTACCTCGCCTGGTATGCAGGAGGCCGTGGGTTCGATCCCGACCCTGACGCCTGCTGTATATTTGGAGTATGCGTGTCTCTCTCTCATCATAAACATCACGGTGGCTAAGGAGATGTTAACTACCTCGCCTGGTATGCAGGAGGTCGTGGGTTCTATCCCGACGCTGACGCCTGCTGTATATGTGGAGTCTGCGTGTCTCTCTCTCATCATAAACATCACGGTGGCTAAGGAGATGTTAACTACCTCGCCTGGTATGCAGGAGGCCGTGGGTTCGATCCCGACGCTGACGCCTGCTGTATATTTGGAGTCTGCGTGTCTCTCTCTCATCATAAACATCACGGTGGCTAGGAGATGTTAACTACCTCGCCTGGTATGCAGGAGGCCGTGGGTTCGATCCCGACCCTGACGCCTGCTGTATATTTGGAGTCTGCGTGTCTCTCTCTCTCATCATAAACATCACGGTGGCTAGGAGATGTTAACTACCTCGCCTGGTATGCAGGAGGCCGTGGGTTCGATCCCGACCCTGACGCCTGCTGTATATTTGGAGTCTGCGTGTCTCTCTCTCATCATAAACATCACGGTGGCTAAGGAGATGTTAACTACCTCGCCTGGTATGCAGGAGGCCGTGGGATCGATCCCGACGCTGACGCCTGCTGTATATGTGGAGTCTGCGTGTCTCTCTCTCTCTTCCCGTGGTCGCGTGTATTTTTCTCCGGGTCCTCCGGTTTTCCCCCTCCACATTTAGAAACAACGTCACGGCGTTCAGAGTATTTGGCTGCTGCTATACATTTCCACGTGGTAATCCACTTCCACGAGCTATCATTGGTGGCCAGGTCGCTTCTGAAAAAAGAGCTACATAGCTCAGCGATGCCTTAAATGGTAAAATAACATTAGTTTAGTTCGTATAACTGCCGTCGTCAAGCAATGGAATAACTGAGGGGCCGTGCAGAGCCCATTGCAGGCCTCTGCTGTCTCCACACTCCCGTGTGTAACTCACGGGATGTGTCGGCCCATCGGCTCTGCCTCTTGGCTCCACAGAGAACGTTTTATACTGGTAGGAACCTCCTGGTTACACCAGCCCACAGGGGATTATTGTGTCCGTCCGTCCGTCGTGCATCCAAAAATGGGAGGGGTGGGGCTGGGTGGGGAGGGTGGGGAGGGGAGGGTGGGGAGGGGCTGGATGGGGAGGGTTGGGCTGGGTGGGGGGTGGGTGGGGAGGGGCTGGGTGGGGAGGGTGGGGTTGGGCTGGGTGGGGGGTGGGTGGGGAGGGGCTGTGTGGGGAGAGTGGGGAGGGGCTGGGTGGGGAGGGAGGGGCGGGCTGGGTGGGGAGGGAGGGGCTGGGTGGGAAGGGTGGGGAGGGGCTGGGTGGGGAGGGTGGGGCTGGGTGGGGGGTGGGAGGGGTGGGGCTGGGTGGGGAGGGGCTGGTCACCTCGTGGTGCCCTTACAAAACTCAACGTTTAACCTACTCACGCCGGCTTGTGCCCGCCCTCACAGTCGGGCATATTTGCGGAATACACCACGCCGCCGTTGACCCTGGCCATTGACTGAGCAACCCAGCGTTCCTACCAGCTCCCTCCGCAAGGAATGTGTTTATCCGACAGCGTTTGGTTTCGGAGAGTGGACCTCTGGACCGGTTTCCACCTCCCGGGTCTCATCAGCAGAGCACTACCGTGTAGTCGTTCTGTAGTAGTGGTCGTAGCAGCATCGTGGCGATACCGATGAGGGTTGCATTTTTTTTATAGAATATTTCCAGGGGGGGCTAGCCCCTCATTCTCACACCCCCCCACCCCCTCGCGTTAGAGGGGACGGGATGGGGGAGGGGGGGATGGGGGATGGACGGGGTAGTGGGGGGGAGGTGAGACAGGCACGTAACGAGCGTGGGGGGCAGGGGGCGGTCCCTTCTCTCCACCCCCGCCCCCCCCCCCGGTGGCCAAAGCTCCGAGTTGGGGGGGGGGGACCTTGACAACTACAATGAGATATGATTTCAACAAGTCAAAAGAATAACAACAACTTATTTACAACGCGGTTTGAATGTTTTTTTTTATGAAAATGCTTACCGGTTCAGACGATTATCTGAACCGTTCCTGAGCCTCCCCACTAGGTCGACTCAGCCTCAAATGAGTACCTGGTACGGTGTGTAAACAGAGCCACTTGGGAGACAAAGGCGGCCGGGCGTGGCAAGAGAAGTCGCGGTATACAAATAGCATCCAGGTGCGACCGTCGTGCGAGAGACCAATCAAATATTGGATGACCCCCCCCCCGCCCACCACCTGACCCACTGCCGCACCCCCTGAGCTGATGATATCTTTGCTGAGCTACTAGGGGCTGGCAGGTGTCGGGGTGGCCGGGGGTGGCACGAATATATTAAAAAATTTCTGCCCCCACCACCCAGCTCCGCCTGATGAATTCTCTCACCCGGAACGCTTCTGCGGTCGTCTCAAAGAAGGGGATGGGCACGGCGAGGTTGACGGGCCACGAGGTGATGTCGTCTCCCCCGGGCAGCACCTCGTCACCCGTGGCCGAGCCGTACGACAGCAGCTCTCCCCGCGAGAGGCACCGCACCCGGGGCAGCAGAGACACCGCCAGGAGGGCAGCCAGGGGCAGCCAACGCAGCAGCAGCGGCGGCAGCGGCGGAGGGGACCCCATGGCACCGGCTTTGGTGGGTCTGGGGAAGGAGGGAGGTTTCAGTTGCATGTATTAGGTATAGTCCTGTGAGCCATGCGGCTGTTGACTCGGGTGCAACCGCAACAAAACAAAAACATTGAACAAGGAACATCTTAAAGTGACGACGCGCAACAGAATAATCCAGGAAAAACCAGCAAAGTCTTCCAGGAAAAGCACTGTATATCAACGCTGTGTGCAAAAATCCCAGTGGGATGCAAGTCAAACAATAACAACCATAAGACAATTTTGATTAAAGTTAACAGGCTAACTCTGTACTACAACAAACACACATGGTGGGTGAAGAGGGTGTGAAGGAGGTGCTGGAAGGGATGATGGTTTTGGTGGTGGAAGTATTACTAGTGGTGGTTGGGTATTGGTGGTGATGTTGGTGGTGGAGTTACTTGTGGGGAGCGGTGGTGTAGCGGTTAGCGCGCTGCGCTATGAACCCGGCGACCCGGGTTCGATTACTGATCAAATGAGTACCTGGTGCGATGTGTAAACATCGCCACTAGGGAGACAAAGGCGGCCGGACGTGGTGTTGGCACACCCACCCCCTCGTGTGTTCTGTGCCAGCCTTTATAAGTGCTCGCTAACAGCACTTGCCCCTACAGTCTGTTAAGGGGGAACTTTGTGAGTTGCTGAGTGACTTGGTAAATGAAGGTGCAAATGAACGAACGAACGAGTGGGTGAGTGAGATAACGGGCGGGTGGGTGGCTGAGAGTACTACGGTTGCCACTTTTCCCACAGTACTGTCGACCAAAACCGGGACAGATTTCTCAGTCAGCGCCAGGGTTCTATCACAAGAAACCGTGCAGTTTCACGCTCCAGAGTCCCACACAGCAGAGGTCGCAACCGGGTACCCGATACCCGTACCCTACCCGATACCCGGCTACCCGTACCCGGCCGGCCGGGTACGGGTACCCGTTTGCGACCCTGGTGCGGCCGGGTACGGGTACGGGTAGGCCGTGAGTCACTGGTGAGTAACTGTTTGTCACTCATTTCCCAACGTCTTGTCTCTTCTCACAATTCAAGTTCCTAGAATCAATCCACCCGCGCCTGCAACATGGCTTCATCCCAGTGGTCGCAATCAGGTACCCGATACCCGGCCGTACCCTACCCGTACCCGGCCGGGTACGGGTAGGGTACGGGTACGGCCGGGTACGGGTACCCGTTTGCGACCCTGGCGCGGCCGGGTACGGGTAAGGAATCAAAACCCGTTTGCGACCTCTGCCACACAGCAACACCGGCACCGCATCTCGGTTACGAATCAAGCCCCTTGCCACCCGAAGCACAGCAGTCAAATCTGGGACTATTTGGGACTCTCTGGGATCATCCGGGTTAAATCCGGACTGGTGGCAACCCGCCTCGTGTCTGCAATGCACGACCGCTCGTTTATTTCTCGGCGTGGCACGCGCAGCACACGGCACCCACGGCTCGCTCACTTTTCACAAATAATCATCTTAATAACAATAAAATGTTGCCACGCATCTACTCTATTCACGTGTGTACACGCGCACACACATATTTTGTACAGATCATTTGCTCGCCGGCAATAACGCAGAGGTTTATAGCGCGCGTGTGTGTGTGTGCCGTAGCGAGGTGCAATGTCTCTTCGAGTTACAAAGACAAAGATCCCCCGTGTAGCCTTTAACAGACTGTTGGGGCGTGGGGTGGGTTGGAGGGGCAAGTGCTGTGAGCGAGCACCCACGAAGTAGGCCTGGCACGGCAACACGAGAGGTGTTGGGGAGGGGGGGTTAACGCCACGCCCGGCCGCCTTTGTCTCCCCCAGTGCTGATATTGACACACCGCACCAGGTTAACCCACTGAAGGCTGAGTCGACCTAGAGGAGGCACATGCTGGGTTCATATATTCGCCACCCGTGTTGGTCGTGAGCGGATAATCTTTACTGGGGTCGCAGGATTAGCGGTGCAGTGCGCTAACCGCTGCACCACCGCTCCCCACACACACATACACAAAAGACAAAGGTTCCCCTGCCTACCGTATAGCTCTTTCACAGACTGTTGGGGCAAGTGCTGTGAGCGAGTACCTATGTGAAGGCCGGCACGGCACACGCCCGGCCGCCTTTGTCTCCCCAGTGTGTCGATATTTACAACACCGCACCAAGGACTCATTTAAGGCTGAGTTGACACACGCACACAAAAGGCACAGATACCCCGTATAGCCTTAACAGACTGTTGCGGGCAAGTGCTTTTCGCGAGCACACACATAAAACTCAGACACACACGTAAGAACGCGCGAATTGTAAAAGCTGGCCAAATGCACACACACACAAACACATGCACTGACACACACACACATACTCCGACACACACACACACTCAATCCTACACACACACACTTCGTCGAACATGGAATGTGTAAGAAGCGCACAAAAGCGGACACACGCACCAGACGCACGCACCACACATACACACGGCCGGACACGGGATTCCTAAAAGCAACACAAAAGATCAGACACACCAGCGCACAGGAGACACGCAGACACACACACACACACACGCAGACACACATACACAGACACGCCTGATCGCCACCTCCACTTACCAGCAGACTGCGAGGAACGGAATGAGTGGAGGGAGGGAGGGAGGCTCGCCTTCTGCTGCCCGTCGCCTTCCCGGCCGAGGCAGAGGACGAGAGAGAGAGAGGAGAAGAGAGAGAGAGGAGACGGCGAGGGTGTACAGAGGGAGCGACGGGGAGAATAATGGGAGCGTGGTGGTGGGGTGGGAGGGATGGAGAGGAGGAAAGCGCAATGGGGGGTGGGTGGCGTGGGGGCGAATGGAGAGAGACACGGGGGAGAGGAGGGGGGGTGGGTGGTTGGTTGGTGGTGGTTGGGTAGAAAGGCGGTGGGTGGGTGGGTGGGTTGCGGGTGGCGTGTCGTGGTTGTAAGTGCTGGATGGTGGTAGGGTGGTGGTGGAGTGGTGGGTGTGGTTGTGGTATGTTGAAATGATGCGTGGCGGGGTCGAGGAGTGGGTGTGCGTGGTGCGTGTTGGTAGCGTGGTGGGTGGGTAGGGGTGGTGCATTGTGGTCGTAGCTGTGTATGAAAGTGATCGTGGTGGTGGTGGGTATAGTGGTTGGAAGAGTTGGTGAAGGTGGTGCTGATAAGATGGTTAGTGACAGCAGCGGTTGTGGTTGGTGGTAGTGAGTGGTTAGAGAGTTTTGGTGGTTATTGATGTCGGGTGGTGGTGCTGAGTGATGGAAGTGAGTGCATGGTACTAATGGTGAGTGGTCCCGTGAATGACCATGGAGAGTTTGTGTCTATGGCAGTGAGTGGCTGGTCGTGGAAGATGGCCAGTGGTTGGTGAGCTCTTATCTCCCCAGTTACACACCGCACCAGGTCTGACCCATTTAAGGCTGAGCCGACCTACCGCTCCCCACAAATACATACACTCACCCATGGACTCACTTCTATCACAGGATACTGCGCAGTGACAATAGACCGAGCGCCGACTGAGACATCTGTCCGGGTTTTGGTCGACCGTGAAAATCGTGGCAGCCCATGGACATGAACATTGCCAGATGCGATTCGAGCCGAGCCATTTCAATCTGGACGATCCGCAACCACCCCCAGCTCCACGTGGTCGGTTCAGATAGTCGCCAATTGAACTCGTTCGTGAGCGGCGAATCTTTAAGTCGGGTTGCCGGATTCGTGGCGAAGCGCGTTGACCTTCTTCTTTAGTGCTGCCTAACGGCGTGTGCGACTTCACGATGATATTGGTCCCGGTCTAGCACGGCGTGTAGAGTTTGTGCTGTTGTTAATTGTAGCCATGTTTTGATGTTACTGAGCCATGTCGTTTTTGGCCGTCCTGGTCGTTTTTTCCCTTCGATTTTTCCTTCCAGGATTTGCTTTAATAGCTGGTATTTGTGGTCGTTTCGGGCAATGTGGCCTAGGTAGTAACACTTCCTGCTAATGATGGGCTTCAGCAGTTGCCTGTCAGTGCCCATATCCTGCAGAACTTGTGTATTGGTGGTTTTGGCTGTCCATGGGATTTTCAGCATTTTTCGTTGACCACTGCACCACAACTCCCCCCCCCCCCCCCCCGACACACAAACAAACATACTCAAGGTCCCCGCAACCCGTATAGCCTTGACAAACTTTTAGGGGAGGCTCAGGACCTGTTCAGATAATCGTCTGAACCGCTGCCCAAAATACAAAGATCCCCCCGTGTAGCCTTAACAGACTGTAGGGACAAGTGCTGTTAGCGAGGAGCACCTATGAAGGCCGGAACGGCACATGAACGGGTGGGTGGCCAACACCACGCCCGGCTACCTTTGTCTCCCTAGCGTGGTGGTGAGTGAGAGGGTGGTAGTGGTAATCATGAGTGGCCGTTGTGAATGCATGCTAGGTGTAATGACGACGACGATGATGGTGGTGGTGGTGCTATTTATCGTGACGAGTAGCTGGTCGTAGTTAATCACCGTGGACGAAGATTCTGCTGAGGGTGCTGTTGGTGGTGAATATGGCGCCATGGTGGCTAGGAGATGTTAACTACCTCGCTTGGTATACAGGAGGTCGTGGGTTCGCTCCCGACCATGACGCCTGCTGCTGTATATTTGGAGTTTGCGTGTCTCTCTCTCCGTGGTCGCGTGAATTTTTCTCCGGATCCTCCGTTTCCCCCCCCCCCCCTCCACATTTTGAATCAACATCACACGTTTAGAGTATTTGACTGCGATACATTTCCACACGATGATAAGCCCACTTCGTTGAGCTATCATTTGTGCCCAGGTCGTTTCTGAAAAAAAAACAGCTCTGCAGCTCAGTGGTACCTTATCTGGTGAAACAAACAAAAAAGTTTCGTTTATAGTTTAGATTGGGTGGCTAGTGCGTTGTGAGTGTCGGGAGTCAGTGATGTTACCTGTGAGTGCGAAGATGTATTCACAAGGCAGGCAGTAGCTGTCTAGACATATTCACAAGGCAGGCAGTCACTGTCTCTATATATTCACAAGACATGCATTCACTGTATAGTTATCTTCACAAGGCAGGCCGGCACCGTCTATCGGCCTGCCCTTGACGAGGAACACACAGGCGAAGGAACTCGTGCGTAGCCAGCTTTCTCCTTCTGCGTTTCAACTTTCCCTAATAAACGATTACGGACACACACATACGGAACCCCAGGGATTGATGTTTGTGGCCAGTGTGCGTGCGTGTGGAGGGAGGGAGGGAGCGGTGGCGCAGCGGTTGTGAGCGCGGCGTGGCCACCCGAGTTCGATTCCCGCTCACGGCCACCAAAACCGGTCACGATTATCCGAACCGGTCACTGGGCGTCCCCTAACCTAGGTCGACTCAGCCTTGAATGTGGACCCGGGTGCGGTGTTTGGACATCAGCGCTGGGGAGACAAAGGCAGGTGTTGTGCGTGTGCCGTGCCCACCATAATAGGTGCTCGCTAACAGCACTTGCCCCAATATTAAAAGGTTGTCTATCTGAGCAACTTTGCCTTTTTTCTTTTGTTCCCGCAGAGCGCTTTTGCAAATCCACTTCTGGATGAGGCCCCCTTACCACGCCCCCTCCCCCGACACCGTTCGCGTCGTGGGGGGTTCATTGACCATACTTCACCACGCTGGGGCAAGAACTGGGACTCCTCTACTTACGAGCATTCGACGTACGAACTTTCAGAGATACGAACAAACCTGGTCCGTATGTCCAGTTGCCCGTTCGGACCGAGAGTCGTAAGTTCAACCGTCGCGCAACAGATGGCGGTGGTAGCATCTAGATCTACAGAACATGAAGAAGCAGTGGCATCTACATCTGCAGAACGTGAAGAACCAGTGGCGTCTAGATTTACAAAACATGAAGAACCAGTGGCATCTACATCTGCAGAACGTGAAGAATCAGTGGCATCTACATCTATAGAACGTGAAGAGCCAGTGGCATCTACATCTGCAGAACGTGAAGAACCAGTGGCATCTACATCTGCAGAACGTGAAGAACCAGTGGCATCTACATCTGCAGAACGTGAAGAACCAGTGGCATCTACATCTACAGAACGTGAAGAGCCAGTGGCATCTACATCTGCAGAACGTGAAGAACCAGTGGCATCTACATCTGCAGAACGTGAAGAACCAGTGGCATCTACATCTGCAGAACGTGAAGAACCAGTGGCATCTACATCTGCAGAACGTGAAGAACCAGTGGCATCTACATCTGCAGAACGTGAAGAACCAGTGGCATCTACATCTACACAACGTGAAGAACCAGTGGCATCTACATCTGCAGAACGTGAAGAATCTGTGGCATCTACATCTGCAGATCGTGAAGAATCAGTGGCATCTACATCTGCAGAACGTGAAGAACCAGATGCATCTACATCTACAGAACATGAAGAACCAGTGGCATCTATATCTGCAGAACGTGAAGAACCAGATGCATCTACATCTGCAGAACGTGAAGAACCAGTAGCATCTACATCTGCAGAATGTGAAGAACCAGTGGCATCTACATCTGCAGAACGTGAAGAACCAGTGGCATCTATATCTGCAGAACGTGAAGAACCAGTGGCATCTACATCTGCAGAACGTGAAGAACCAGTGGCATCTACATCTGCAGAACGTGAAGAACCAGTGGCATCTACATTTGCAAAACGTGAAGAACCAGTGGCATCTACCGAACACAAAAAACACCAGTGTGTATCTACATCTGCAGGAGATAATTATGCAACTTTTAAAGCCATTCCCCGTGTTGAGTGTACACGCCGTACAGCATGTTTGGAATCGACAAGAGTGTCGTTGTAAGCTGCACACTGCCCTCTGCTGCCGTCCAACAGCGATGCGTAGCAGTCGCCCATCCGAGAAATATCGAGGCTCGCCGCTGCTGAGTACATTACCAATCGACATTCTGAAGGAACGAGACTCTGAAGAATAGAATGTGTGTCTTGTAATTAGTGCAAAGTACCGGGTTTGTATTAAAAGCACGGGCACTGATAAAGGAAATGGAACGAGAGTTGAAAAGTGTGCACAGAAGCATGGGGAAGAGGGCTGCCACGCTTGGAATGCCATTGAGAGAACTGGGAGAGGAACACGTGGATCAGAATCATAATCTTGATTAATACTGGAGGAATCCCATGAGCGAATAATCTTCTTTTTTACAATAGATGCCCACTAGTGGTGGGTCAAAACGTTACAACGACAAACAAAATACAAAAAAGACGATAGCAGTGAAAGGAATAGGTCAAGCAATTAACTTTTTTTAATCGAAATTGAAAAATATGTTTTATTCCACATCGTTTCCCACATCGTACATTGCAACATCCTGACGTTCTGAACGGCACTACCAGTTGCATCGACGCTTTCGGGCACACGAGACTCATCAGAAGCAGGCGAGGTGAGGGAGGGGCTTGGCCAGGTGATTGCCCTTCTGGGCTCCAGTATTTAAGACGCGTCGAAGGGTCAGGAATGGACCCCATGCACGCTGTGTATTCTTCTTCCTTGTCTCTGAGATTACAGCTCAGATGTTGCAGTGCTGACATTGGGCTCTCATGAATACAAAGTGAGCAAATCACTTTAAAAATAAAATTAGAGATCCGGCAGAAGTATAAGAATATGCACTTAACGCTTTCGCGACTGCAGGAATTAATATTTGACTTGCATCCCACTGGGATTTTTGCACACAGCGTTGGTGTAAGGTGCTTTTTCTGCAATATTTCGCCGTCTTTTCTTACATTTTCTGTTTGCACTTAGTCACATAGTCACTTTAAGATGTTTTCTTGTTCATGTTTTTGTTTTTTGTTTGTTGCGGT